GCTGGCTGAGGAATTCTGGGAGTTGAAGTCCACAAGTCTTAAAGTTGCCAAGGTTGGACACCCCTGTAATAAAGCTTGTCAACTACATTCATAATCCGAGAATTCGTTAATTGTGTCACGTTAAATGAATGAGCCCCTTCTGCTTTCCCCAATGCATTTGTTAAGTCAAATGCACAGGTTGTTAAGTGCACATGAGGTATCTTGAGTATGGGGAAGACCATGGGGTGGTGCTAGAACAGGCCACCCAAGGCCTCCCCTCACCCACTGAAATATCTCATGGTCCACTTGCAATCCCTTGGGGTCCCCATGGTTCCTTGGGCCTTTTCTGCACCAACTCCATATCACCAATCACTCACTTACCTTTCCAGAGTTCCAGAACAGGCTGACCCACGTGGCAGAACAGTGGCCATCTTTTCCTCAGATGCTGTTTTCCTTAGATCTTGCATTCTTTCACCTACACGTTTTTGCGCAGAGAATGGAATCGTCTCTTAAGAATGCAAGATCTAATGAAAACCGCCTCACCAGCGTCTTGAGTAAAAAAAAAATGGGCCCTTTTCTGCCATGAGGCCAGCGTTGCTTGGTCCTGTCCTGGACGGTGCCATGGGTACTTTCCACGTGCTGCTGGGTGGCTGGTTTGAATGAGTGGCTCCAGGCATTGCGGTGTGAAAGCAGTGGCAGCGGCCAATCAACATGGGTCTTCTTTTTTTTTTACGCTGTTTTGACTGGAAGAGAATGCGAGAGCCACTTCGGGGATTACGGTGCGAACTCAGTAGAGGCAGCCAATCAACACGAGGCATTTTTTTTTTTTGGCAGTGTTTTGGCTGGAGGAGGAGGTGGGACCACTGGGTAGTTGGACAGCTGGCTGTGGCAGCAGCGGGAAAACCAAGCACCCTCGCCTCTTGCAGTGAACCAGTCATTGTAGCTGGGGGGAGGCCGTGCCCGAGAGTCCCATGCCGCACATGCTTGCTCACCTCCTGCAATGCCTTGGGTGCCAAAGCCTGAGGCATACTCCCTGGCAGTGGCAAATGGGCATACCAAGCTCTCCATCTCTCTGTCTCCACGGCAGCCATTGGCGAGGTCCACATGGGGTGGGGAGGAGCAAGCTGTATCAGACCTAGCAAAGCAGGCCTAGTGTCTGTGGAGACCCGGCGTGGCAGGATGGGTGGGGAGAAAGAGGCAGGGGCATGTTGTAGCATCTCTGCAGTTAGCCATAAGGGCAAACCATTACTGTGATGCTGCAACATACCTAACTTTGGGACTGGGTCATAAGTACTTTTGGGGGTAGGTGTTATAACTTTGAACTGTCACTAAGTGAACTGTCGTAACTCAAGGAATACCAGTATGGAGGAAAGTATAGAAAAGAACTGAAGAACATTAGATGCTTAAGGGTAGGCTACATCTATTAAGCATTCTTCTGAGTCGTCTTCCCAGGAAACTTCTTTTAAAAACACTGGAGCACTTTTTAATGATTCAGATTTAGCTATTTTAAGTCAATAAATTATAACAATCACTTCCTGCTATTTGTGGCATATGTAAGGGGTCTGCAAGTCCATTTCCTGATTAAAATGTTACATCAGTGTCAGCAGCCCTCAGACACTGGATAGATAGATGGGCAGCTAGATCTGCAGCTTGAAAAGTTTGCACAATCGATTAGTAGTTTCCACTTCCTTGCTACAAAATGCTTTTTTTTTTTTTTAGTCTCCAGGAATCTCAGTGCTATTTCAGTTTTCCTTCTTTTTTTGCTACCTGTAATGTTTACTCATTTCAAGTATACTAATACAAGAATAACCATGATACTAATTAAAATATTTACAAGGGGGTATGTGTGTATGGAAAGCGGTTCCAGAACCAAAGATGTTTTTGTTAATTGTGCTAGGTTGAGTAATAGTCCATACACAACTGTGGTATGTAATCCTATATCCTCATTATTGTGAGGTGAGTGTCTATACAGTGCAAAAAATTAAAACTACTGTGTCTTTGCATTGTTTTCCAATATAATGTACCCATGCAATTTTCAGACATTGCTTAGAAGCATAGAAACACACCATATGTCACGTCTAACTCATACTTTACATGACAGATCATAACTGGATTTGCAATAATTATTGCATTGTATGCCAGTAAACACACAGACATAAACTAATCATCTGTGGTCAACCTCAGGTCCCAGAGCTTGTGTTCTGCAAATCCCTAAGAAGTACATGGCATTTTCTTAACATTTTAATGTTAACTACTGTATACAGTAGATGCAATCGCAATGCTGTGAATCAAATTTCAGTTTCCATTATTACTCTTAATATGTGTATCACACACACTCCCAAAAGGAGTAATGTGCTTTTAAGAGGGGCAAGTTGGAAATCATTACATGGCACATCACACCACATTTAGTGGTATTTTATGGATTTCAAACCCATGTCTGCTTTTTTTCCTCAATGCTTTTTAAGTATTTTTGAACTTGATCACCTCTTTCATGTTGTTAAGATTCCAGAGGAAATATCATTGGATAATGAAAAACCTCTGTGTTAATGTAAATCATTTTCCAGCTGGTGAGCTAAGGAACATAGCTGTCAATTTCTGCTGGAAATTTGACTTATGCTTCATTTTTCATGGAAGTTCACAGAGTTCAGACTAAACATCCTGTTAGAACAAACATTCAGGCGCATATTTACACTGTAATGCAGATGACAGGCTGTAGGTAGCTGGAGATACAAAAGAGGAAAACCTGGTTGCCTTCAGTGCTTTTTATTTGTAATCTGAACTGCATCACTTAGGAATTTATTGGAATTTATTTACAGAATGGTACTCGTATATATATATCTATATCCATATATATATATGGGATTTTAAAGATTCTATAATACTGTGCAGGATGGATCTATATATACGTGTATGTGTGTGTGTATGTGTGTGTGTATATATATATATATAGACCCATCCTGGACATTGCAGTGGGTGTGATGATAGTATTTTAATATTTGTACAAAATTTAATTTAATTTCAATTCTATGTATATAACTGCATTTCTAAATTAAAATACTTTTTGAAGTGAATTGCCCATGGTGTAGCTTTTTTTTTCTATTGATATACAAACAGTTTCTTGAAAGAACACCTGAATAATGAACATTTTTCTGAGATTCATAGAGAGAAAGCCTATTGCTCCAATAGACAGACATGTCACATTTCATTTAAAGCAATCATTTAGGTTCTGCGCAGCAACTTTTTTTATTGATTTGATTTGGAGGCTGCCCTATTCAGGAATGATTTGGTATAGCTTTCAGTGGGGGGAAGAGAAAAGCCACATATGCCTCCAGACAAACCATGTGCCAATAATTTTTAACACCTTTTGTGAACTCAGCAATTTTACATCGCCAACACATACCATTTTTTCTGCCTTCAGCCTTTCTTCATTACCATACTTGTCTTAATTCAGACAAGAGTTCCATTCACTATTCCCTTCTTGGCATTTATCTAGGTTGTAGAAAGAGTAAGAGAAAATGTGAGGAAATTCAATATCTTTCCTTAGATTTCCCAAATGTTTTAAGAAGTAATTTAGAATTTTCCTTTCATTTGCTCCTGGTAGATTTAGTAGATAAGGTTGCTTGGTGATAAATACCTTGCTTTTGTATTTAAAAAATGGCTCAAAGTAATTTTCTTTCACTTTTACATGTTTCTTCTGTCTGTGTATGGATTTTTTTTAATCCAGATACTATAATTGGGAATTTTGATAAAGACACATAAGAAAAGAGCTGATATTTTATTATGCCCATTCTGAAAATTGGAACATGAGAAGAAAGTGTAGATATGGTAAGGCTGGGTAAAAAATGAATGGTGTGTAGCATTTAATAAAACTATGCAAAGGATAAAAACATGAGCATTCAGAAGAGCATTGTGTCTATACATCAGAGTAGAAACTTTAAAAGAAGGAATGACAATGCAAAGTCCTAAACAAACAGTATTGCACCTTTCATTTGACTAAAATCCTGTTGCAATTTTCAAACAGAATAAAAGCATCCAGATGAGAAGGTGTTAAATAACAATGATTTCTGTTACTCTGAAGAAGATTGGCTAGATGTGTATTTTCATGGTATAATGGTTAAAATAATGGACTAACCGGGGAGAGCCAGATTTAAGTACACCGTAGTCATGAATTATTCATAACCCAATCTTATCAGAGGTTTATGGGGCAAAAT